ATCAATGAAAAAAACTGTAAATGGAGCTTGCTTAGCAGTACCTGATCTTAAACTGTATTACAAAATGGTAATTATCAAAACAATCTGGTCCTGGCTAAAAAATAGAGTGGTAGATCAATGGAATAGATTAGATTCACAATACTAAGTAGCAATCTAGTGTTTGACAAACTCCAAGGACACAAGATTTTGGAAAAATAAATTATTTGACAAAAATTGTTGGGGAAACTGGAAAGCAGTTTGGTAGAAACTAGTATAAACCAACATCTCACACCATCTCACACTATATGCCATGTTATGGTCAAAATAAGTACATGAGTTAGAAAAAAAAAGTGATATCATAAGCAAATTTGGGGAGCATGGAATACCTGTCAGATCTGTGGATAAGGAAAGAATTTATAACCAAAGAAGAGACAGACAGCATTAAAAGATGTAAAATGTATCATTTTGATTATATTAAACTAAAAAGGTTTTGCACAAACAAAACAATACAGCCACGATTAGAAGGAAAGCAGGAAATTAGGGGTAAATTTTCACAAGAAGTTTCTCTGATAAAGGCCTCATTTCTCAAAAATATAGAATATTGAGTCAAATTTGTTAGAATACAAGTCATTCCCTAACTGATAAATAATCAAAGGATATGAACAGGCAGTTTTCAGATGAAATAATCAAAGCTATCCATAGTCATATGAAAAAATTCTCTAAATCAACATTGATGACAGAAATGTAAATTAAAACAAGTCTGAGATACCACTTCATATCTGTCAGATTGGTTAATATGACAGAACAGGAAATTACAAATGTTGGAGGAGATGTGGAAAAATATAGACACTGTTGGTGGAGTTGTGAATGGATCAGATCATTCTGGATAGTAATTTGGAAATATGGTCAAACTCCTTTAAACCCCTGTATACTCTTTGACCCAGAAATACTGCTATGAGGTCTATATCCCAAAGAGATCAAAGCAAAAGGAAAAGGACCTGTATGTACAAAAAATTTATACCAGCTCTTTTGTGGCAAAGAATTGGAAATTGAAGGGATGTACATTAATTAAGGAATGGCTGAACGTGGTATATGATTGTGATGGAATGCTCTTGCTCCATAAGAAATGATGAGCAGGATACTTTCAGAAAAACCTGAGAATACTTACATGAACTGATGCATAGTTCCAAATTGATCATAGTTCCAAGTTGCTCTCCAAAATGGCTGGATCAGTTCATAACAGCACATTAGTGTCCCATTTTCCCCACATCCCCTCCAACATTTATCATTTTCCTTTTCTGTTATATTAGCCAATTTGATAGGTGTGAAGTGCTATCTCAGAGTTGTTTTGATTTGTATTTCTCTAAATAATAGTGATTTAGATAGAGCATTTTTCATATAACTATAGATAGCTTTGATTCCTTTGTCTGAAAACTGCCTGTTCATGTTAACCACTTAGCAATTGGAGAATGACTTGTATTCTTATAAATCTGACTTATTTCTCTATATTTGGGAAATGGGGCTTTTATCAGAGACACACTATGAAAATTGTTTCCCAGTTTTCTACTTTCCTTCTAATTTTGGTGCACTGGTTTTGTTTGGGCAAAACCTTTTTAGTTTAATACAATCAAAATGATCCATTTTACATCTTATAATTCCTTTTGTATCTTGTTTGGTCATAAGTTCTTCTCTTCTTAATAGATATTGCAGATAAATTGTCCCATGGTCTCCTAGTTTGCTTATGATATCAACCTTTACATCTAAGTCATGTATACATTTTGACCTTATCTTGGCATATGGTGTAAGATGCTGAGCTATATCTAGTTTCTACCATACAGTTTTCCAGTTTTCCCAACAGTTTTTGTCAAATACTCAGTTTTTTTTCCCAAAAAACTGGAGTGTTTGGGTTTATCAAATACTAGATTACTATGGTCACTTACTACACTGTTTTGTGTACCTAATTTTTTTCATTGATCTACCATTCTATTACTTAGCCAGTATGAGATAATTTTGAAGACTACCACTTTATAATATAGTTTGAAATCTGGTATGGCTAGGCCATTTTCCTTTGCATTTTTTTCCATTAATTCCCTTGATATTCTTGATCTTTTGTTCTTCCAGATGAATTTTGTTATTGTTTTATGTATTATTTATCTCTATAAGATAATTTTATCTCTACATGAATTTTAGTAGTGTGATTGCTATGGCACTGAATAAGTAAATTAATGTAGGTAGAATTGTCATTTTTATTATACTGGCACAGCCTACCCATGAGCAATTCATATCTTTCAAATCGTTTAGATCTTACTTTATTTGTGTGAACCTGAGTTTGTGTTGGCAGGTAGATTCTCATGTATTTTATACTGTCTGCAGTTATTTTAAATGGAATTTCTTTTTCTATCTCTTGCTGCTGAGCTTTGTTGGTAATGAACTAAAAAATGTTTAAAATAAAGGTTAGAATTTTTTGTTTACATGAAATTGAGAAAAAATAAAAATTAAATGCAAAAAACTGGAAAAAAATTGGAAAAAAAAATCAATCTATACTCCATATTTAGTTCTCTCTCTGGTGGCGAATAACATTTTTCATCATGAGTCCTTTGGAATTGTCATGAATCATCATACTGATCAGAGTGGCTTAGTGCTTCCCAGTTGATTATTGCTGCATTATTGCTGTTACGGTGTACTGTGTTCTCTTAGTGTTAGTGCTCACTTCACTTTTCGTCAATTTATATAAGTCTTCCTAGGTTTTTCTGAAACCATCCCCTTCATCATTTCTGACAGCACAATAGTATTCCAGCACAATCATATACCACAACTCATTTATTCATTCCACAATTGATGGGCATTTCCTCAGATTCCAATTCTTTGCCTCCACAAAAAGAGTATTATAAATACTTTTTTATATATGGGACCTTTTCCATTTTATTTTATCTCTTTGGAATATTGACCTTATAGTATGGTATGCACAGGTTTATAGCCCCTTGGGTATAGTTCCGAATTGTTCTCCAGGATGGCCGGTTCATAGCTCCATGAATACTTCATTAGTGTACCCATTTTCCCACATCCCCTCTAGCATTTGTCATTTTCCTTTTCTGTCATGTTAACCAACCTAGTGAGTGAGAGGTGGTGCTTCAGAATTCTTTCAAGTTGCATTTCTCTAACTATTAATTATTCAAAGCATTTTATTTGCTTATTGATATTTTTATTTCCTCTATAAATTGCCTGTTCATATCTTTCAACCATTTCAACCAACAGCTTTTAATTTTTATAAATACAGCTCAGTTCCCTATATATTTCAGAAATGACACCTTTATCAAAGAAACTTGCTATAAATAATTTCCCCTGTATTGTCCTTTCCTTCTCATTTTGGCCACATTGGTTTGTTAGCGAAAAACCTTTTTAATTTATGTGATCAAAATTATCCATTTTGTTTCCCATAATTCTCTCTATATCTTATATGATCATGAACTTTTTTTATCCATAGATCTGATAGATAATTTTTCCATGCTCTTCTAATTTGCTCATGATATTACCTTTTATGTCTAAATCATATACCCATTTTGACTTTATCTTGGTATACTTTGTGTTGATGATCTATGCCTAGTTTCTGCCAGAATGCATTCCAGTTTTCTTAGCAGTTTTTGTTGAATACTAAATTCTAGCCTCAGTAGCTTGGATCATTGGGTTTATCAAACACTAGGTTACTGTGGTTGTTTACTTCAGCATATTGCATACCTAATCTATTCTACTGCTCAAACGTATTTCTTATCTGTTATTAATTTGTTTTGATGGTTATTGCTTTGTAGTATAGTTTGAGATCTGGCGCTGAACCTATACTCCAATAAACCAAGAATAAGAAAAAATTCCACATATATTCCAAAATATTTATAGCTGCACTTTTAGTGATAGCTAAGAATTAGAAACAAAGTGGATGCAGATTAAATGGGGAATGCCTAAATAAATTGTAGCACATTAATGTAATAGAATCTGGTACAGCAGTATAAGAATATGCTATTAGAAATTCTGTATGTGACGAATATAGAGAAGCATGGAAACATCTCTGTGAACTTATTTAGAGTGAAGTAAGCAAAGCCAAGAAAATGATATACATAGTAACTACTACAATGTAAATGGAAACAATGACACATCAAAAACATCAAAAGTAAATATGACAAAATCATAAAGACCAAGTGGGACATAAAGAGTTAAGAGAAGACACCCCCAAGTTAACTCTTTGTGGAGGATAGATTTCCATAGGTGATATGCATTACACATATTTTGGGGGCTTTTTTTTAGGTATTAACCAGTTTTTCTCATCTTTTTTTCCTCTCTAAAAATATTTATTTTATGGGATGGCTCTCTGAGGGGTAGGCAGAGGGATAAAATAAAAATAATAAAATAAAAAGTTCTACAGGTTATATTGCTTCTTTCTCAGAGATGACTTAAGGGATCTTGAAAAGTTTTGAACTGTTAAAATATTTCATTTTTTTTGTACTCATTATCACAGCTCATCACTTTTACAAATTGTTACTGGCCAAGGACAAAAATTGCTAACTCAGAAGTGACTATATGCAAGTAATATAGAAATTGATACAATCGACCAGTTAGCAAGCATTTGTTAAGTATCACTCTCATCTGTCTAATTTTTCGGTTTTTTCCCATATAAAAGATTCTCCTTAACACCCACTTCATGCCTGAATCAGGAGGTCACTTTTTTCTGTCAAACTTCATAATGAGCAATTTTATTTCCATAGTAACCATAGTGTTTATAAAATATAAGACTAATCAAAAATAGTATACATGTCTTACTAATATGTTGCTACTTGTATATTCTATATTATGCTATACGTGTACCAAATGCCACTTCAAATTGCACGTTCCTAGAGGTCCATGTTATATGTATACTTACTATCCACCAAATATCTTATTTGAGGTGAAAAAAATCAATATTCAAGAATAATGAAATCTAGCTAATTATATTCCTGAATTTTGTCATGCTATCTGAATTTTCTGTCTTTCAGGTACCTGGACGGGCTACTAGTTTTGATAGTCAAGGATCCTGCTCATCTCCCAAAAAAACAACTTCCACACCTTAGTATCTTCAAAATAAAGTTAACATTGTCAACATCCAAGAGTATATCTTCACCAAATCCACAAAAACAGACAGTTTGGCTTCCTCATCTGAACTATATACAGAGTTTTATATTAAATTAATGTTGTTTCTCTTTCTATTTTGTCTTTATCTTGGTGATTATAATGACTTAGTATTTCAGATAGAGATAGAAGAAACTTTCCCTCCTTATTATGCCTGTGACATTATTATTATTATTATTATTACTACTATTATTGTCAAAGGACCATACTCTCTTAGTCTGAGTGGTATTTCTAGAAGTCATCTTTTATATAAGTAGGTACATCAAATGCAAATAATACTCATTTAGTAAAATGCATAACTAATACCATTATTGTGAAAGGTAGCATAATAGTTATATGACTATAGTTTCTAGATTCTGTAATTGTATGGGCAATTCCACCTGAGTAAACTTAGGAAAGTTATTTAAACTTCCTAGTAGGAGTATATTTCCCTGTCCTTAAGTTGAGAAAATTCTTTACTATAGTTCTTTCTACCTCTGATGTCCTACGTTTTTATTTGGTACTCTCTTCACTAATAAATAATGGAAGTTTGAAGTTTATTGTAAAATTCTCAGTATAGCTATCATCCCCTTCTGCAGTAATCTTGAGGTTATTTTTCTGGCATTATACTAGATATTTTATCAATTCTATAGAAGCTTTTTATCTCTTGTGAAGATTTTGGTGTTGTTGCAGCCAGAAAGTTTTTAACTTCAACATTATACTTTAACAATAAGAAGAAAGAAAATTATTTGAGGATATTTTAAAAACTATATCTTGAATATAAATTTAAGATCTAATCAGTAGCTAGAAAATGGAGTTTAACTAAATTAGCTCATCTAGTTAGCATTTATTTATATTAGCCTATTTGCTTTGATTAACTATTTTTGAACAAGGATTAATATTTTTGGTGATAAATGAAATCAGAGACTGCCTTTTAAATCACTCTTGCAAAGTTCTCATTGAATTTAGTGTGAATTTTCTGTAATATGGCTATATGTGTGTGTATATATTTATATATAATATATATGTGTAGTAGGATTTACTGTCAGAACAAAAGTCTCACAATGCTATCAGTATCCTTTTTTTCTATGAGTGTATAAAACAGTGATGGTAACTTTTAATACCAATCAGGAAATAAACTATGGAATTATGTATTTTCTTTTTTTTAATAAAGAAAGTAACTTTTAAATGTATTATAGAAATGGAACAATGTAACTACAAAATCAGTTTTTAAAAAAGAATAACAATACAGGTAACTGTATAGGTAATAGGAGGTAACTGATGGTGCTCTTACCTTATTTTTCAGATGTGCACTCATATGATATTTGATGATCAACACAAATATTGAACTTTCATTACTATAGATAATTGGAAGAAGACACAAATAGTAAGAAAACACATGAGGAAAAAAATATTATTCAACTAACTAATGTAAGCCAGAAGGACTGAGTCTTAATGATAAAATATTCATTTTAGAAAAATAATTTTAGTTAGGAAACAAAAGCTTTGTTCTTGGGATAAACCAAATTCAAATATCTCTTTCCTTATGGAAATGCTTTTTCAGATATATCTGCAGTTCGTAACCTAAAAGTAAATAAATGGATACATTTCCTGAGTGGATACTATTATCAGTATTTTCAACAAGTTTATATTTGCAAGGAAACCTAAAATCTTTTTCTTGGAAGTTTAGCCTTTTAGTTGCCCATTCTTTTTCTGTCACTGTTTCATTTTTTATTCAATTTCTCTAGCATCTAGAAAATATATTCAATTCAAGTTAGATTTGTGAGGTACATATTTTGTACAAGATACTATGTTAGGTATATTAGGTATGAAAGGTAAAGAATAATTGTTGGTGTGACCAGTTTTTGCCATTAGCAGGCAATCAGGAGACAATAGAAAATAAAAAATTTTTGTTCCTGTTTCCTGGTATTAAACAACAACAACAACTCTAGGCTTGTCAGTATGCAGAGGTTAATTCTTTCTAGAATGAGTTTGACCTAAGATGGTTAGAGAGAAGAGGAGAAAAAAATAGGGAGGAAGAAATGAACAATATTTTGAGAATAATTCATATTTTGGGAGACAATGAGGAAGACACCTCATTGTCAAATTTGTATAACATGGCCATACAAATAATATTTTAATTCAGAAACATAATGGTGCTGTTATATAATGACACCACCTTAAATATGTGTGTATGTATATATGCATGTACACATTCCTTATCTAGAATCACTTTTTCCATTTGAAGGGAAAGATAGGATTGCAGAGGCTCAAATTAAGATCTGAAGTGAAGTTATTTCCTTAACATGGATAAAAAATGGATGCAGAATGTAAAGAATAGCATTAGATTCATCATATATATACATATTATATGTAATATACATGTGTGTAAATATATGTCATATACATATTATACATAATACACGTGTGTGTGTATATATATACATATACACATATAGTCATAGCTACATTGCTTATACATATCTAATTTCGGAGGGTGTATTTATTTGAATACTTCTCAAATCTAAGATGAGACTGAAGAAGGAAGAAGGCACATGATTAATATGAAAAGATGTTGTTACATGCACAGCCAAGATAGTGGAGTAAAGGCAGGCACTCACCTGAGCTCTCTCCCAAACCCCTCTAAACACCTTCTAAAAATGACTCTAAGAAGCCACAAAAAGATTGACAAATTTCCAGCCCAAAACAACTTAGAAGGTCAGTAAGAAAGGTCTGTCACACCTGGGCGAGAGTGGAATACAGTCCAGCACAAGCCATGCCAGTACAGCCCCAGCCCCAGCAAACCATGAGCAGGCCTTGGGAGTGACTGAATGAGCAGTGGTAGTGGCAGTGGCAGTGGCTGCCTCTGGAGCTCTCAGCACACAGTCTGTAAGGGGCTCAAACAAATGGTCAGAAGGAAATATCAGGAGTCTTTTGGCTAGCACTGAGGCAGGACTCTGTTGCTTTACCCATACTCAGGTACAGGTCACAGTCCTGGTTGGTAGTCTCAGGGTGAGGAGGAGCACTAACATAGCAGAGCTTGCAGCCATAATGAAGGAAGGGGACCCTCCTCATAATTTTAGGGTGCTTGTGATCACTCACAGGTAAAGGGTAAATACCTCTCAGATCATACCACTTTGGAAGAACTGAAAACTTACAAATCCCTAAAAGTATCTCTGAAAACAGCTGTAGAAAACCCCTGAAGTTTAGGACAGTGTGACCTCCACCCTGGAAGCAGAGCCCTACTTTAATAAACAGTTAAAAGTCAAGTAATAGGATAGAGAAATGAGCAAACAACAAGGAAAAAAACCCTCTGACTATAGAAAGTTAATATGGTGACAAAGAAGATCAAAACACACACCCAGAAAAAGACAACTGTTGCGCATCCAGCTGTGAGAGTCTTAAACTCTCCCTCCCCAGGAATGCTAAGGCCAGCTTAGTTCCTGATACCCTGCACCGAGCAGTGAGAGGCAGGGAGACAAGATGATGAAGCTCCGTTTATTCAAGGCACAGGACAGTGTTTTATATCTTTGACTCATGGGAACATACCCCAATGTAACAGCGGACAAAGCACAAAGTTTACATATCTTTACCAACAGGCAACACCGAGAATTTTTCTCATGCGAATACCGAAGCATCAACAAGTACATTTCTTTGCAACATTATCCTGACTGTGTCCTTCGCCCGTGCTGCTCCTGTAAAAACACCATGTACTTCTTGTTCCCGGAATGTCCCAATACTTGATACATAAGCTAGCAATACCTGATACATATTTGAGCTAGAGCAGACTGTGCTTGAGCTAGCGACATTGTTTATAGTTTGAGCTCGCCTAGCATCAGAGTTTTACTGACCGGGAGGTGCAAGGTCCGTGGACGGAGAACCCAGCCAGGATATTCTGCTCATGTACTAACACCCGAGAGGGGCCTTCGCCCATCAGTAAAGTCTCATGAATACCCTGTGCTCCTCAACGTCCTACAGATCCCTAACAGACAACAAAGTCAAAGCTCCTACATCCAAAAAAAGCCTCCAAGAAAACGAGGTATTGGTCTCAGGCCATGAAAGAGCTCAAAAAGGATTTTGAAAATCAAGTTAGAGAGATAGAGAAAAAATTGGGAAAAGAAATGTGAGTGATGCAAGAAAAATCACGAAAAACGAGTCAACAGGTTAGTTATGGAGACACACAAAAAAATACTGAAGAAAATAACATCTTAAAAAACAGACTAGGCCAAATGGAAAAGGAGGTCCAAAAGCTCACTGAAGAAAATATGTCCTTGTTTCATAAGAAATGGTGAGCATGTACACTTCAGAAAAACCTAGAAAGGCTTGTGTGAACTGATGCTAAGTGAAGTGAACAGAAGCAGGAGAACACTGTATACAGTAACACCAACTTTATTAGACTTAGCTCTTCTGAGCAATGCAACAATTTAAGACAATTCCAAAAGACTCATGATGGAAATGCTACCCACACCCAGAGAAAGAACTATGGAGTCTGAATGCAGATTGAAGGATACTATTTCCTCTTTTGTTTTTGTTGTTATTTTGTTTTGTTTTGCTTTTTCTTTCTCATGGTTATTCCCTTCTGTTCTGATTCTTCTTTCACAACATGACTAATGTGGAAATATGTTTAATATGATCATACATGTCCAGTCTATATCAGATTGCATGCCTTCTTGGGGAAACATGATCAAAAAAAAAGCCTAGAAATCATCTTTCAAGAAATTATCAAGGAAACCTGCCCTGATATTCTAGAACCAGAGAGTAAAATAGAAATTGAAAGAACCCACCAATTACCTCTTGAAAGAGCTCCCAAAATGAAAACTGCCAGGAATATTATAGCCAAATTTCAGAGTTCCCAGGTCAAGCAGAAAATACTGCGAGCAGCCAGAAAGAAGTAATTTAAGTATTATGGAGCCACAGTCAGGATAACATCAGATTTCACAGCTTCTCCATTAAATGATCAGAAGGCTTGGAATATGATATTCTGGAGGGCAAAGGAGTTAGGATTATAACTAAGAATCACCTACCCAGCAAAACTGAGCATAATCCTTCAGGGGGAAAATGGACATTCAGTGAGCTAGAGGATTTTCAAGCATATTTTTGTTTCTGGTGAGGCAATCAGGGTTAAGTGACTTGCCCAGGGTCACACAGCTAGTAAGTGTCAAGTGTCCAAGGCCAGATTTGAATTCAGGTCCTCCTGACTCCAGGACCAGAACTCTATCCACTATGCCACCTAGCTGCCCCTACTTTCAAGCATTCTTGATGAAAAGACTGGAGCTGAATAGAAAATTTGACTTTCAAATACAAGGCTCAAGAGAAGCATAAAAAGGTAAACAGAGAAGGGAAATGTAACTCTAAAGTTATTCTCATTATTAGGGTAGTTAGAAGGAGTACATATAGATAGACGGCACAGGTATGAGTTGAATATAAAGGAATGATGTCTAAAAATAAAATTAAGGGGTGAGAGAGGAGAGGTAGAGTGGGGTAAATTATCTCATGTAAAAGAGGCAAGAAAAAGCTTTTGCAGTGGAAGGGAAGACAGAGGAGATGAGAGGGAGTTAGTGAATCTTACTCTCTTCAGAATTGGCTCAAAGAGGGAATAACTTACACACTCAATTGGGTGTGTAGGAAAGTAGGAAGGGAAGTGGATAAGAGAAGGGGGGGTTGATAGAAGAGAGGGCAGATTGGGGGAGGGGGTAGTCAGAAGCAAAACACTTTTAAGGAGGGATGAGATGAAAGGAGAGAGAATATAGAATAGATGGGAGGCAATAGGACTGGGGAAATATAGTTAGCTA